GATTATTTTACAGATGTGGATCCCACTGCCAATAAATAAGTCCTCCTGGACTGCAGTCAAACAGGAATGACAATGCGATTGACTCAAATGTTCACACTGGATTATGCATTTTACAAATCTCAACAAGAATTTTTCAGATTTTTTCCAGACTTTATCTCTATAAATAACCAGGAGATGAAACCAAGGATTTATTATCCACTTACCAGTTCTACATGAGTTAACTGTTGGGCCAAAGTATATGGATCACTGCAGACATTCAACATTTCTCTTTGGATGGATGGAGGTTTACTTTTAAAAGCTACCACTTTATCTGAAACAGCTGCACTGATCTTGACTATCCCTTCTTGACCATGGTTAAGACTTGCAAGCTTCTGGTTCAAGGTTTGTAGAAGCTGATTCATCTTTTTCCAATAGGCCTGATGTGAAGAAAAGGAGGAAATGGACAATTACACACACCAAGTAAATCACCAAATCTTTTGAATCAATGTTTCTATTCAAGAATGGAATGATCAGACATAGATTAGAATAATTTTACTTCCAACCATCTATTCTAGAATATCCAGTCAGTTTAATTATAGTTCCACCCTATGTTCCATCCTATAGTTGTCCACCACAAGACTAGCATCTAGCCAGAACATTTGTGCATTTGTGCTCACTGCCAATTGAGCTCACTGACCACATAGGTTAACATAGCTCCCCCCACCAATATCCTCTGTTTTACCAATCTCATGAGTCCTTCTCATTTTTAAAATCTCTGAAACATGGACTGTTGATCATTTGAAACACATGTAGAACATCTTATGCAAGAAATGCCAGTGAAATACTATCATTTAAATTGTCATGGCTGATGTATGTGCTTCTCACAGAATCCTCAGTATTCCAATTACAAATACTTACATCTGTAAAATAATCCCATAATGTTGGCAATGAGGTTGCCAACCCCATTCGAAATGATTTTGAATCATTTTACCCTATATAGTACTCTGATATACATTCAATGTAGCATTGTATTGACATGACCAAAACATCTACAACACTTCTCTTAAATTACTTGCCCTATCACTCATGGCACCATGGTATTGAAGCTGCTCTAAGTTATCAGGAAATTATTTTGAAAACAAAGATGAAGCAGATCACAGGTGGTATGGGTTACACATTATTTAATGAGATGTTCAAGTTAATCTAATACAGCAGTTGCTCCCAATGAAGTAAAAACAAGAAAAGCCGCCAAATTAATTGAGGTTAATTCTATCAATATGGGTTTTTAAGATGCGCTGAAGTTCAGAATACAAAATTGGGCAGCAATTCTGTTCTGAATAGGCTGTTGATTATAGATGAAAGTATGCCCAATATTTTGAAAAGATTGGATGGGGATAATAGCTATCCAGACTAAACAAACAAATTAAATATTTGTGGTTTGGAAATCAACCTCATATTGAGAAATACACAGACACATTTTTTCAGTAATTTCATCATGCATTCCATCTCTTTAAGCGGGATGTCATTGATCTGTCCTTTAACTGATTTTAATCTATAGATCTGCATTACAAAATATCTGGAAGATGCATGGGGGTGTAAAAAATGTGATCAGCCATTTGTTTACTTATTGAATTATATGGCAGCCTTAAAGATATGGAGAACTACAAACCTGTTATAGAAACTGGCATCTGAGAAGATACATTATTGACTATAGCTATAGTTTTATTATCTGTCTGCCTGTCTGCCAAGAAAATTCAATAATTGCCATCATATGAGTTATGTATAGGTTTACTGCCCCAAAGCTATTTCATTGAAATGAGGCTGATCAAAGCATTTACATTATACTCATCAATGGTAAAATTAATCAAGGTGATTGAAAAATCTGACCTGCAAGGAAAAGGAATCATGTGAAGCTTCTAAATGACCTATAAAGACAAGACGAAACAATGGGTGGACTCTTAAGGGAAAACTTATTTAATACTGGTCTGTGTACATTTACAGTCTCCTCAATTTTCCATAAACTTCTGAAGGATGTTTAACAAGGTTTGAGTGTTGGAAGGGAAGGCAGCTATGCTTTGAGCCTTCTTGTTAAAGTGGACATGAGTCACTGTGGAGCAATTGATACAGAACCCATCAGCCAGGTCAACGTAACAAGTGAGGCAGGTCACAGACAGAGAAAATCTCTATGGATTATGTCATCTAGCCATATGACTAAGAAGAACACAGGAAAATACTACCACAGGCATTCTGCAGACATGAACTGCTGATGCTCTGGATGGCTGCAAATGGGTAACTGTGGATGGCTCATCACGACTTCCAGAAAGAGGTAATGAGTCCAGCAGTCTTGATGTTCTACTGGAAATGTGATGAAATGTCCTGGCTCCCAGAAACAGTTTCTTTTTACTAACGCCCCTAGTTGGAGTGGCAACTAACATAGTTTTGAGCAACGAGGGTCAGTTCAGAAACTATTTCTAGTTATTTCTTCCCCTGAGAAGGCCCATGAAAAAACCCTGCCATACTCTCCCACTCTGAACACTATAAGGCAGTGATGGCGAAACTTTTTGTAAACATGTGCCAAAATTATGCCCGTGGGCACCCCACACCCAATGCAATACATCCGCCCATCTGCACATGCACATGTGACCCCCGCATATGCATACTCAGCCCCCCACATGTGGGTGAGGAGTTCTTCACCCTCCCCAGGCTCTGGAGGCTTTCCTGGGCCCTGGGGAGGGCAAAAACAGCTTCCTCCCCCGGTGGGTCTCCAGTAGCTACATTATTGCTGTTAGCTGCACATTCAGCCAAACGTTTTGATTTGATTTGGCATTTTTGTCCACCTATCAAGTCCTTCCCAGGGACCTGGGATAGAGAGATATTGCTGCTGAATAATAAAGGGATTTTTGCGGGATGTAAGCGGTTCCAAGTAAAGCTGCCTTTTGCAATTGACTGGTGTTGATTTTGTCAATGCCAATGGTGTTCGACTGATGCTTCAGATACTTTAGAATTGCACTATTTTTATTGGTACTATCTTTGCATATATTTTTTTGCCATAGCCGTTCTTCCTGTAGGTTCTTATATTGTGTGATTTTCTCACTTCTTTCTCTTCAATTGTGTCTCCAAGGATTGCAACATCCACTTTCCAGACATTGTTGTCTTTTTTTACCAATAGTTAAGTCTGGGTGTTGTTTCGCAGGTGCTTGTCTGTTTGAATTCTAAAGTCCCAGAGCACTTTAGCGTCTTCATT